CCCATGGAACTCAAACAAGAGGGCAGAAAGAAGGGAACAGCTATAGGAATGAGATAAAGAGTGGCAATCAGCTATTGCTACTTCTGCTTAGTGAAAAGCCAGAAAAGAAGGGAAGGCAGAAAGTGGAAGCTGGGCAGTATTAGAAAAGGACATCTAAGAGATATTGTTTTTCAAATTTCACTAAGGGAACTAAAGGTAATGCTAATCTTCAGGTCTTAGTGAGGAAAATGGAGACAGAATGGAAAAAATAGGCAGAGAAGAAATAAAGAATTATGTGGTACAAATAGAGGCAATAGAACAATAAAGCATACAGGAAGATAACGGTAACAGATTCTTCCTGAAAAAAGTTAAGCATTCTTGGTATTTAAATAATGTATATTTATTTAGAGGCCCAATTTTGAGTTGAGCATCTGGTTAACTGAAATCACTTAATTACTGAATACCATATTTCTAGCACAAAAAAGTGCTTGTAAAATACTAATTTGGAGAGCATCTCTTTTTGTATGTGATGTAGAACTCAAAACACTACAAATCACTGAAAAAAAGCCTTGATTCAAACCCTAACATCCAAAATATATTTACTCCTCAACAAAACTCAGACCTATTCAGTACACACTAGTCCATGCAGTAGTATTTAGAAAGGCCCTGTCACCTGGGAGATGAGCAGCTACTCCATTTCCATGCCATTTCTCTTGACAAATATCTCACTTTAAGGCAGTGAATATCCCCAGAATGCCACAGAGATTCCCTCATGTGCACCACAAAACTTTGATTTTAAGCATTTGCAACTGAAAGGCCTGTGGATCCATGAGGAATAGTAAACCGCCAATTGGACACCAGAGAAGTTATCTGGAATTGCACATTGTGACCTGTCCCAAATGTCATAACAAATAGGAGACAAATTTAAAAATGAGGACAAAATGACAGGTGGAGGTAGACTAGCTGAATTATTCTCAACCCAGTCCACCTCATAGGATGTTTTAGAGAAAATTCTCAGCAGCATTATGTCTGCTACCCTGAGTACTATAAAATAGATAATAATAATTCAACCATACTGGACTGGTTTCATCAGAGGAGAGTCTCTCCCATAAACAATATGGTGAAATGTAAATTATAAAAACCCATACTAGATTAGTCATTCCCCAAGACAACAAGATATCTGAAAAGAATGCATCAGTTCTGTAACATGCAAAATCAGAAATAACAAAAGCTAGCAGATCAATTTTTGATTTATAATACAAAATAAAGTATTCACCCCCAAATCTACCCAAGGCAAATTAAATCTACCCAAAAAATTAAACCCTTGCCAGGAGCAGCTCAAATTGTCAAGGTAAATTAGGGGGAGTTGGCAGTAGAGGAAGGCAGCATAACTATTGAATAATTTTCATTCCTAAATGAGGTACGGATGTGGAATGTTGCACGTTCGCTACACAGTTGAAAAAGAATAAAGGGCATTGGAATAATGTTTGGAGGACAGTGAAGAAGATGCACTGAAATTAGTACAGAATATTGGAGAAACCAAACTGGCGTGCAAAAAAGACCAAGTGAAGAATAGAAAAGAGACATGGCAAAGCATTGCATGGCCAGTACATAAACAAAACTAGCAGGCAAAACACATAACAACAAGGCCTGGCAATGGCTAAGAGCAGGAAAGTTGAAGACATAGACAAAAGGAGCTAATTCTAGCTCCGGAAGATCAAGAGCAAATGTATGTGAAGCCTCTGTATGTAAATACTGCCTCTGAAAAGAAGCTGAAGAAACGGCTGCTGCAAGATCACACAAACTGGAAAAAATCACAAAACATCAAGATTTGCAAATTGAAGTAAAAAGACTGTGGCAAAAGAAAGCCAAAAAAACTACCAATAATAATAGGGTGCAATTCCAAATCAACTGGAACCCCAGGTAAATTCCATCAGCATTGACAAACTCACTATCAGTCCATTTCAAAAGACAGATTTATCTGGAACAACTTACATCCTGTGATGTAGTTTAACACCATCAAACAGCAATATCCACCTATGCCAGGTTCTTGGGAAGAGCTCAATAGGTGGATAAAAATTCCAGTTCTAAATATAGTCTAAACATCTGGCTGACTGTGCAACCAATCATCATCATCATCATCATCATCATCATCATAGACTGTGGCAAAAGCAAGCAAGGGTAGTACCAATAGTGATAGGCTCCTTGGGTGCAATCCCAAAACAACTGGAGCACCACTTGAACACTATTGGCATTGACAAATTCGCTATTAGTCAATTGCAAAAGGCGGCCTTACTAGGAACTGCTTCCATCCTGCGACGATATCTGTAATACCATCAAACATCCACATCTGCCTACCCCAGGTCCTGGGTAAGGACTTGATAGGTAGACAAAATGCCAAATCCAGTCTGAACATCTGGCTGACTGTGCGATGATCCATAATAATAATAATTATAATAATAATAATAATAATGATGATGATGATGATGATGATGATGATGATGATGATGATGAATATGGCACTGCCTATATTTGTGGACACTCACTTAGTAATTCTTATGTCCTTGGTTAAGTCTTGAATTA